ACGAATGAGTGCCATATAATGCCCGGGTCTATGTAAAATACAGGCAAAAATATGAGGATGGTTATTGAGGTCATCGCCTGGCGTCGCATGATGCATAAGAAGGTGGCGACCGTGAAACGCTAACTGTAAGACATTTACAGTAAAGCCTCCTGAGATAGTATAGTTACTACCTTCTGCAGGTGGACTATTATGGTCAAGCAACAACTGATTTTCAACAGCGTCAAGCTGTTACGCAATCGTAAGAAATTGGGATGCACTATAACGTTGACGCTGATAAGCCTGTAGGCAGACATTTGTGGCTGTCAAACCACAAGAATTTGGTAGGTCTGCCCGCAGATCCGAATCGGTCACCACTGGAAATCCAGATGTGATCTGGCGGGGTCGGCGCGTAAAAGACGAACGCCGCCGACGTGGCAGAGAAGGTTGTCGGTAAGACAAAGATCCCCGCAGATTAGCATCAACACGACGTCGAGAGGAAGTATGTACGTGGGGGCTATGGTTACCTTCAGTAAAGCTCGAGTCCAATTACAGGGGAAATGCCAAAGACGCCAACACAGCGGGCGTAGCTCAGTCGGTACACAAGTGAACTGTTGAAATACAGACGTGGACTTGGTTGAGCGGTCAGTTCCACGATGATATCTTCAAAAGCCATCGCCCTTTTTCCAAAAAAAAAGGTAAACAACGGGAAAAAAAAGAAGAGACAAGAAAGAAAAAGAAAAGAGGGGCAAAATAAAAAATAAAAAAACGATGCAACCAAACGAAGAAAACAAAAACGAAATGGCACTGCCACACACAGAAGAGAGCATTGCTGAGAAGTGCTGCCACCTGGCGGTCGACGAATTTCGAATTTGACAGACTGAGTCCGTTTAGAAACTTGAATCGATTCCGCAGCACTTATACTATATATATATATACGAAACAGTTTGTCACAGCCCCTCGTTTGTTGTCCTCTTCTCCCTCTCTGCCTACGGTTTACCGGGCAGTTCTATTTGACGATATATATATATATATATATTACTGAACATTTAATAGCAGCTTCAATTGATTTTATTTTTATTTTTCACCTTTTTTTTAGCTTCAAGTCGGAGCAAGAGTAGGATTGTTGGCATCATCCGTGCAATGAGGAGAGGGCCACCAACAACTGAGCCCTCCCAACTCGTGTGAGCAAGCGAGCACACACACACACACACACACACACACATACACGAACACATATGGCCGAGAGGGTGTGTGGGGAATGGATTTCATGGACGTGTAAGATTAGTTTCTCAGACTTACTGACATTCTTGTCAGAGGGGTTGGACCGACAGTATGCTAGGATTGCCGGGTTGGTTGGAATGATTGAAGTCGACCATTTTCTCAGGGGCAGGGCCAACTCTGGGCCACGTGATAAGCCCGTATCCATCAGTCCAATGCATCCTGGGCAGACTATCGGGGTTCGACCTCTTGATGAGTCGGTGAAAGTCCGACAAAACAATCTGGCACGGTCATGCTGTTCTTGTGGAGTTGTCTATAACACACACACACACACACACACACACACACACACACACACACACACACACACACACGCAAACACACACACACACATATTCCGGTCTTGCTAGCTCTCTGTCCTGGCAGATTTGAGCGGCAATCCAGGATATGGCGGCTATGGCGGCAATCGAGGATATGGCGGCTATCGCAGCAATCGAGGATATGGCGGCTATGGCGGCTATGGCGGCTATCGAGGACATGCGCCCGCGACAAATTTGTAGAGAAAGCTTTATTGCGGTTGTGACGGATATGGCGGCTATGGAGGTGAAGACAACGAGCCCGGCGATGGCGAATAATCACAGCGATGATGAAACTTCATTGGCAAAGAGGATGGAGTAATCCTCACCTTTCCTTTTGCTGCCTCGCGCATTGAACGAAGGGACTTTCCAAAAGGAGCGCTCTGCTGATAAGCCATTAAATGACACGAAAGCACACGCAGATGATGGACACGTGCTACCTGAAGCAGGGATAGTGATGGAAGAGCGGTTGACCGCCCCCACACTAAGACTGCCTATGGCGCGTGTGAGCCCCACTACGGCGGCCATGGCTGCCGCCTCCCTCCCCTCTCGTTCTCCCTCCCTCCCTCCTTCGCCCTCGTTCCCGTTGCGCTCTCGCCTCGATGGACCGGACACAGCACGTCGCGAGCAAGCCAAGCCGTCACTATCCGCAAGTGGAGACTATCCCCCTCTACTCCCCCCTCCAACCCCCCCCCCCCTCTACCTGCCCGCCTGCCCGGGGGCAAGGTCCCCACTTGCACGGAGTAAGAGATTCTGGCCGTTGATCTTTTCTATCTACGGTCAATATCGCTTAATTCGTGTAAGTGGAACCTAGCCCCGGCTGACCTCGGTGATAAGCTGCCGCACCCTTGCCTCGCTTATCGTCTCTCATGTGATTGGGCCTCCCTCCACTACACCACACTGTACACGCATTTGGTCGTTTTCTGGACCGGTACATTCAAACTGTTGGACTCGTCCGAATGCATCTGGTCCAGAAATAACTGTGGGACTCGTCCGAATGCATCTGGTCCAGGAATGCAATGTACACTGTTGTACGGTGGAGCCAATCCCATTCTTCGCTCTTCTACGCTTGTGCGTTGGCCAGGCTTCAACTACGCAACATCTCCTACAGCCTACAGGTATCGGCTTCAACTACACAACATCCTACAACAAATGTGGAAATTCGGAATGAATCTACCCATATAACACGTAAAGATGCACCGCCGTATTTTTTGTCTTTTGTGCATGCAGTGAGGAGCACACGGACGGATGGATCCGACATTTTGAACGTATCGAGACCGCTTTTTCGACCAGTGCAGTTAGAATGTCTTGTGCCGTGGAGCGAGGCCCTGTTGTATGCCCATATTACCTTCTCCTAGGTAGCGATCCCACCGTTCATCGGGAACAATCGACGACTGCCGCCCACGTAGTTTATCAGGATAAGGCAACCAACGACCTGACAAACTACGGTAGTCGCTCCACTACTCACCACATGCGCAAAAGACGAAAAATATGGACGTGCATTTTCCCACGTACAAGAAGAAGATTCATTCTCATTTTCTTCATTTGGTGAGTTGTGGAGCTACATCACCAAACTGGATTTCGTAGCTCAGTGGGTACACCCATGAACTGTTAAATTACAAACCTATGTTCGAATCCAGGTGATGGAACTTGACAAGTAACAAGTAAAAACCAACTGCCGGTAATAATGAAGTGCTTGGGGCCGGTTAGCTCAATGATAACATCTTTTTGTTTTTGTTTTTAAACCACCAGTACCTGCCAGTTGTTAAGGCCCGTGGCTCAGCCTACCAGTATGCCGAACCTTGCCGAGCCTCGAGCTACCGGTAGGTACACATTAAAAAAAATAATAATAATAATAAATAAATAAAAAACGACGTTCTTCTGCCAAAAAAATAAAGCAAATTGAAACAAAGAAACCCGTTTTCGTGGAGAGAGCCAAACCCACCGTCTCTCTCTCTCTCTCTCTCTCTCTCTCTCTCTCTCTCTCTCTCTCTCTCTCTCTCTCTCTC